GAGAGGAGAGGGGAGCCCCGGCGGCGGCGCTGAGCTCCGTGTCACAGGCCGAGGGGCTCCTCCGGAGGCACTCCGACCAGAAACGGAGCCCAGCATTTGCCGCTGAGCCCTCAGCGGGCAGCCCTGGGCGGGAGGCCCGGCAGTAACCAGCGCGCTCCAGCCCACGCTGTGCTGGAACGGGGAGGGAATGGGGATTTGTCTCGGGCAATGAAACCGGGACTTGAGGTCCCAAAAGCTGCTGGCACCAGCTCTGCCGGGCCAGGTGTTTTGTTGGGCGCTATGGGACCGTCACGACACACCGCTCGAGGTGCCTTGCGGGAGTTCTGGGGCTCTCCTTTCCTCCCCAATCTGAGCCTCTCACTGCTTTCTGGCCCCCCAGGGCTAGATCAGCTGCCCACTGGGGGTGTTGCAAGCCTTCTGCTGTCGATGCCGTTACTTGAGGTCTGGGATGGAGCTAATCTTACACCTTCACACCCTAGGTAAACCACAGCGATGGCTAATTTGATAAGTGATGTTATATTTAAAGAACACAGGCCCTGTTCCCACTATGGTTAACTCAAGGAGCAGTACAGAGCTCAGATGATGCCTCTCATTAATGCAGATTTAGCCACAATTAGGATTTGGCCTGTCCTTCCCGAAAACGTGGAACCCCAGGGCAGCGCACCAGGACAGCAGAGTTTGGGCAGCGCTGCGGGCTTGGGGCTGCAAAAGATTCACGTAGAGAGCATCGAGGTTTGTATCCGACTCTGCAAATGCTCACATGCATGGCGTTACACTGCAGAGAGCTCCAGGAGGTTTCCGCAGGAGACCCCCCCGCGGGGGTGCAGACCCCGCATACACTCACGCTGGTGCAGGAGCGGGATGGTGGGAGCGGCAGAGAGCTGCTCTTGCCCGGCGCCTCCGTGAACTCTCCTTGTGATCCCGCTGCAGGTCTTTATCCTTAGTCGGAGGCTCTGGGGCACGCGCCGATGATGCACATCGACTGCTGACTTAGGCAAGCTCCAGCCCTCGGTCGGCCGCTCCGGGAGGATGAGACAGATCCGGGCACATCCAGGCTTGGCAGCAGATCAAAGGCAGGTGCTGACACTGGTTCCGGCCGTTCCCTCCACGCCTGTTCTTGCCTGCAGCAATTAATGTATAGCTTTTTGCCGCATGGGAACTTGGCTCTCGGGGAGCAAAAGCAACGCTCTGGTGAGCTGCTTTAAGGCAGGACGATGCAGCCCCGGAGTTGGTGAAAAGCGATGACGCTGTCACCGGCAGGGATGCGGCCCCACGTCTCCTGGGGGCTGTGCAGAGGACGAGAGCCCCTGCGACAAGGCTGTGGCACAGAGCCATGGAGACGGGTGGAGGTGGCCCTTTCCTCCCTGCCTAGGTGTGGCGTGGCACGTACCTGTCCTGACGCCTGATCGGGATGAGACTGAGCTAACGAAGCTGACGAGGGAGGATGCCGTCTCCCATCAGTGCATTTCCACCCAGCCCATTTCCTTCCCAGTAAAGACCGGCGTTTGGCACCCTCCCCGTTCTTGCTCTGCCTTGCGGATCGCACGGAGCAATGAGCAGCTTTGCCAGGGTCACCCCGGGAGGCCGCAGCGATTCGTACCACGGCCCCCACGTGCCTCAGTGAAAGACGGAGCCCCAACCTCCAGTGCAGTATGTTGGGAAGTATGATCCCTCCTGTGCGGAGTGGAGGGATCCCGTGGTCCAAGTGGACCGGCCAGGAGGGCACAGGGCCAGGCAGGGACCCCAAATCTGCATAGGGACCGCATGGGGCTGTAGGGGCCACGCCGCAGCTCAGCACCACCCTGCTGCATCCCGGTGCAGGGGGAAGGAGGAGAAGAGGTGATGAATTTGACCTGCAGCCCCTGCAGGGCCAGGGCCACCACGGCCATCACCACGAGGGCTGCAACCGCCCGCGCCCTCCCTGTGCGTCGGCGAGGCTGCGTGGGACCGGAGCACGGGGCCACCCAGTCACCCTCAGGGGCACACAGAGCCACTTTGTCCCGGGGCAGCCACGCCGCTCCGCTGGCACCCACGGAAACGGCCTCTCACAGTCAGGCACCATGAAAAATAATTGTAAAGGGGGGGGGGGGGGGGGAAGAGCTGTGTGAGCAAACGCTGAAAGCCGCACGAGTAGGAAACAGATTGTAATCTCCCTAACGAACTGCAGTTAATCAGCATGAGCAACTGTGAACCGGGGGGTGATGCAGGGCTTGCTACCAGTGCCTGTTTCCAGAGGGGGCCCTTATGTGGTTGGGGGGCGCTGTGCCCCGTACAATAAAGACCCCGAAGTCACAGGTGAATGGGACTGTATTTAAACAGGAGTGCTTGGAAAAACCAACCGCAATGTTGGCGTGGGTTGTTTGGGTTTTTTTGTGCAGGGAGGTTTGCCAGCAGACTTGGCTTTTGTTCTCAGTTTTTCGGGGAGCAAATTAGCTGGAGGAGACAGGCCAGGCCAGTGTTACTGAAGAGAGCTGCCACATCCACCGGCTCTCGGTTCGGACAGCCCCTGGGAGGAGCCTTTGCTATTGCCTTCTGCCGGCCTTGGACCAGATCCTGAGCCAGGACTCCTGAAACAGGGAGTCCTGCAGTCCAAGGGCAAAGACATAAACGAAGCCCAGAGCACCGTTACCTTCCTAGACCAGCACTTAATTAATCATATAGAGGTGTTGGTCCTCCCAGACGTTACCCCTATGCCAGCCCTGCCACCCAGAGGGGAGTTCATCATCTATGGCCCGTTCACCAGCATCTGTGTCCCTCTTGACCCTCCACAGACCAACCCAAAACCCACTGGTGGAGCCTCTTTCCACGGGTGGTGTCTGATTTCTTTTAATAGGCTCTTTTCTACAGTGGGAACCAAAACCCCGCACTGCCGAGGAGGGAGGTCTGGTGCCTGCAGGGCCACAGATGCGCGGGGAAGGAGGTCTGCGGGCCAGCGGCTCCAAAAGCTTTATCGCTCGGTGGTTTCTGCTAACATCTACGTGACTCCAGTGACTAACAACCACCTTCAGGGAACGCACGTGTTAGTTAAGGACACCCCGGCCTTTCTGTGGGGGCGTCGAGAAGGCACCGCTTAGTTTGCCAAGGCTTCCCCGGCAGCCGCCGTCGCAGGGCCACACACCCAGGAGTGCAGTGGGCGATGCAGAAGGGTTGCTGGTAGAAACCAAGGGGCGACTGCAGCCCTGGGCCACTCGCTCCAGACCTGTCGGTGGCTTTTTTTTTTTTTAGGCAGGGTGGAAACCAGAGTCTGGGGAGTTGAGTCCAGGTCTCACACCTGAGCAGCCCAGAGGCGGTGGCCCCTGCTGCCTTCTCCCCGACGTTGGGCTGTCTGAGCTTCCTGGCACGTCGTGGCTGCAGCCCTTCCCTGAAGAAAATGGGAGCATCTCTGCCTTATATGTAGTCACCTGTAGGCTCTGTGCTGGTCCCCACTTGTCTCCATCCAGAGACGGCCGTATTGACTGTGTCCGCTCGGGGGGACGTGCTGAGCCCCGCAGTTCCCCGCTGGGCTCTGCCACCCTGCCGGGCTAGTTGGTGGGCTCTGTGGCCATGGTGTCCACATCTGGAGACGGCGGCACGCCGCTGTTCCCACCGTTGCTCACGTTTTCCTTGCTGTTGTCCCTCGTGGGGTCGCTGCCTTTATCCTCCACTTTCTGCTTGAGTTTGAGGGAGGAATCTCTCCGGGAGAGGAGGGGCTGGTAGCCAGCGAAGGCTCCTCCACTCACGTTCGTACGCTTGTCTGGGGACGGACAGAAAAAGAGGGTTGTTTACCTGGGGTCCAAATTGACCTTTCAGCTCAGGAAAAGGGGTGTGGGATCTCCCCTTGCCAGAGGCGTTGGGGTGTCTTCTCTGAAAGACGGGGGTCCTTCCAGCCCCCGGATGCCCCCAAAGAGGGGAAGGTGGCTGGGAGACTGGGCTCGTGCCCCAGCGTGGCTGTGCTCAGGAGGGGCAGGGGGAGGGTGTGATGGCCGGTTTCCTACCTCCCGGCCCGATGGGGTGCATCAGTCGGTTCATCTGGACATTCCAGTGCTTGACGTTGGTGCTGGCCTGTCGCAGCTTCCGCTGGGCCGCCTGGGAGGGGACGGAGGAGAGGGGTGAGCCGGCGGCCCGACAGCCCCCGACCCAGGACCGCGGGCGCGAGTTTCCCTTCCCTGAGTAAGCCTGGCTTGGAGGCTCCCTCTGGGATGGAGACCCAGCTCACCCTCCTCTCGGTCTTCTGCTCCTCCTCCAATCCTCCCCCCACCACACACTCCCACTGTCGACACTGCTCTGGACACCAGCGCTGTCCCCCCGTGGCAGGACACGCTTGTCCCGTCTCAGCCAATGAATCGCCCCGTGCCTGCGCATGGCACAGCTCAGAAAACCCCCGAGGCAATGCCAGCGCGGTCCCCAAAACTGCTGGGTCCTCCCCAGTGTGGAGGTGGCTCAGTGAGGGCTGGGAAGTCCCCCGGGGCTCGCAGCGTGAAGGGATGTGGCACCGATGTGATGCTCACCATGACGTCTTGGTCCACCCGCTGCCTGTTCACTCTCACTTCTTCCAGCTGCTTCTGCGCCTCTTCCAGACACTTGTTCTTGTTCTCCATCTCCTGCTTGAGGACTTGCTTCTCCCGCTGAGTTTTGATGATGTATTCCTCCTGCTCCTCCTTCAGCTTCATCAGCTGCTTCAGCTTCTCCTCTTCCTCAGCCAGTAGCCTGCCAAGGAAGAGCAAGAGATGAGGACGTCCCTCTGCCACTTCATCCACCAGCTTCCCTCATCCCTGCCGGCGTACTGGGAAGTCACCAGCACGCCCCAGTACCCCGGGGAACACTGCATTGCCCTGGGGAGCGTGTCCCTGTGCCCAGCCACTCCCCTGGGAGTGGGGCTGGTCGAGGAGGGGCAGGGATGCCCTGGTCCTACCTGGCCTGCGCGTATCTCACGGACTCCTCATCCTGCCGCGCTTTCACCTCCTGCTGCAGGGCCTCCTGGAGCCGCTCCTGCATGTCCTCCAGCTCCAGGATGCGCTTGCGCTGACGCTCTGCCTCTGCCTCCTTCAGGACCATCTCTGCCTGCATGGAGGCGCGAGCCTGCGACGGAGAGAGGAGCCATCAGTGTGGGTGGCTGGCAGAGCCACTGCTGCCGTCCCCAGGGGCCCCTGGCCCTCGCAGCCCTGGGTGGATGGGGCCAGACGTCTCCTACACCAGGGAGAGCCCATGGAGAGAGCTCCAAAGCAAGGCTGTTTCCCTGCTCAGGGAGACACACCATGTTGTTCGGAGCCAGCGCTAGCTGCAAGGTCAGAAATGGGCTCCCTGGCCAGCCCGGCACTAGCGCTCGCCTCTCACCTGCCCCCCAGCTTCACGCACCCTGGGGCAGGTTGTCCTCATCTTCTGCTCCTCGGGTATCTCAGCACAGCAGTGCTGACCCCTCTGTCCCTCGTCCCCGGGTCACACAGCCCCCGGGAGCCCAGAGGTGATGGGTGGCAGCAGCATTGTTGCAACAGGGGGACATGCTCCTAAAAGCTCCTCCAAAACCCCTGGGCTGTCACGGGCAAGGGAAGGGGAAGGAAGCGGCCACCCCACGAGTGACGCAGCCCCGTTGCAGGACATGCCATGAGGATGCACCCACCTGCTCGGCCTCCTGCAGCTGGATCTCCAGAGTCCTCTGCATCTCCTCGTGCTGCTGCCTCCGCCGCTGCTCCTCCTCCTGCAGGAGTATCTCTGCCTGCCGCTGGGCCTCCTTGAGCAGCTCCAGCTCCTGCAGCTTCCGCTCCTTCTCCTCCTGGAGCTGCTTGAGCCGCTGCGTCTCCTCCTCCTTGGCCGCCTTGCGCTGCTCCCGTTGCTCCCGCTGCTCCCGTCGCTTCTGCTTCAGGTCTTTGTGCAGGGACTTCTTGCCCTCAGCCTGCAGCCGGATGGCCGTCTGGATGGCTGGGGAGGGAAGGGGACGGTCAGTGGGGACACGGCGGGGGGCACAGGGAAGCTGGGGAGGGGGCGGAGGGTGCCCTAATGTCCACTCCTGGCGCTGCCGGGTGTCGGAGGCGCTCATCTCGTAGGTGCGGGAGGAGGTCTTCACGCAGAACATGCACCTCTTCCCATCCCGGTCGGGCAGCACCTGCAGGGATAGGACACAGGATGGCGTTACCCCCCCTGTACCCCACCTTAGCCCCACTTTCTTCGGCCATAAGACTACTGGGTCTCCCATGCTCATGGATGTGAAATTGTGTATTCTTGGGTTCCCCTTCCCGGGGTCTGAAGGGGGGTCTCCTGCATCTCCCGTCCCTCAGCTGAGCATGGCCCAGGCCGTACCTCCACGCAGCAGTGCTTGTCCAACGCGATGCTCCCCTTCTTCTCCTTCCGTTCCTCACTCATGTAGTAGGACAGGACACTGGGCTTCAGCGTGAACCACCGCTCCGACCAGTTCCTCCTCAGCTGGCCCTTCTTCCAGAGGTAGCCCTGCGCCCGAGAGACACGGGGATCAAAAACGGGGTGAAGGCAGGACGGGGTCTGTGCCCCAAGACGTGTGGGCTCCTTGCCTGTTTGAGCACATCCTCGATGATCTCCTGGTACACCTCCTCCACGGCCATGCTGATGGCCTCCTGCTCGATGCCTCGCAGGAACCGCCCCGAGTTCACCATGTCCAGGAACTGCCAGACCGTCAGCCCCCCCTGCCGCTGCGGCTCCTGGGAGAGGTAGTCATCCAGCTCGCAGGAGTTCAGCTCCACGTTCATGGCTGTGCAGATCTTCTTCAGCAGGTACTCCACCTGCGGGAACGGGGAGCTCAGCGATGGGGAGAAGGAAGAGCCGTCCCCACCCCGCCGACCCATTTTGGAGAGCCCAAGACCACATCTCTTTCCAGCCTGGAGATGCGGGACCATTATCCCCGAGGTATCACCCCTTGCAATGGTTGATGGTCATGGTCAAGGTGTTCGAGGCAGCAGGCGGGCTCAGGAGGTTGACACTGGGTTAGACCTTGACCACTACTGGGAGGTTTTTCCTTTTAACCACAAGGCTGAGATGTTTTTGGCTTGTTTTGTCTGCAGAGTGAGAAAACTCCACAGAAGTCAAGTGCCTGAGGGAGAACAGACCAACGCTGCTGTCCCCCACACCCAGCCCGCAAGGCAGGTGTCTCAGACCATGGCCCTGACCTCAGCACCGCTCTGGTTTCCAGCTGACGTCGTAAAAACACTGTGGAGGAGCAGGGGAAGAGGTCCCTATGGAGGAGATGAGTGTCGTTTTGAAACTGTAAATAAACTGCTTTAAAAAGAGCTAAAATTGTTGAAAATAACATGTCGGGAAGACTTATTTCAGCTCAAATTTTGCAGCCAGCTCTCCTCTACCCACCTCTAGGGACCAAGGAGGGTGGGTGACTGCAGAGAGCCACGCAGAAAGGTGAAACACAGCAGAGTCCCCGCACCCAGCTTGATTTTTTTACATGGTCTAGCTAGGAGTAGGGCAAGAATTTAATGTAGGGTTTTTTTTCTTCTTCTTTTTTGTTTTTTTTTACCCAAGCTCAGCACTGTAAGCA